TGCAAATTCCCTAAACTTCTGTTTATCTAGAAATGCCTGGCTCTTAAATTCTTTTAAAACATTTCTTAAAAATTCAAATGGCACCAGCCCTTTTTTGATATTAATAATTGTAAAACTAAGATACCAAAAAATTTACTGGTAAAATTTCTTATTAGATTCATAGTCAGACTGTATATCTGAAAGAATTTGTATGTATATGCCTTTACTGCTCTTTAGAAATAGGAAGAAAATTCTATAATAAGGTTGGTGTATTTTAAGATTTAAAATATGTATGGCTTCATTTAATGCTACTAGCCAGAATCATTCTTTCATTCAACAAATCTGCCTGGTTCAGAAGATACTAAGTGAGCAGGAAAGCTTCTCCCTGACCCAGTGTACATCACACATTTAATAATGTGAACTTTCGGCAATTTACAATATTAGGAAACATACCAAACATTTCACCATTCTGTGCACTATAGCATTCTCTCATGCCGTGTTGGTACTAACCCAAACAAAGAATGCTTTCAGCGTTAGATGTAATATTCGTATCAGACACGTGGCTATTTAAATTCCATAAATTTTGTTGATTGATTTTAATGGATTATTTCAAGAGAAGTTGAATCTAGATATAAAATATTTCTGATCTTTTTGAGTCTTCTTAGCAACCGAACTACTTGCACAAGCATTCCATATTCAGCAAAAAAAATTTAGTACCTACTGTGGCTTTGCCATATTCTATCTCTTTATTGATATTATCTACTTGGTCAGACATCATTCTTATACTTTCCTTTAGTTCTTTAGAAATGATTCACCTTAGATCTTTGAGCTTATTTAAAATAGCTGATTTAAAGTCTTTATCTAGTAAATCCAACATTTGGGCTTCCTCAAGGACAGTTTCTATTGATTGCTTTTTTTCCCCTGTGTACGGACCATCGACACAGTGGTTAAGGCTCTCAGCAGCTAACCAAAAGGTCAGAGGTTTGAACCTACCAGCCAGTCCATGGGAGAAAGATGTGGCAGTCTGCTTCTGTAAAGATTTACAGCCCTGGAAACCCTATGGAAACAGCTATGGGGCAGTTCTACTCTGTCCTATAGGGTCGCTATGGGTTGGAAGTGACTCAACGGCAGTGGGTTTTTTTGTTTGGATGGACCATGCTTTCTTGCTTCTTTACATATATCAGAATATTTTTTTGTTAAAAACGGGACTTTCAAATAATATAATTCGGCAAGTCTCAAAATCAAGTTCTCCCCCATCCCCAAGGTTTGTTATTGTTGCTATTTATTGTAGTAGCAGTTGTTTGCATAGTGCTTTCCTAAATTAATTCTTTCAAGTTCATATTCTTTATCACGTGTACTGAAGTCTTTGCTTAGCTTAGTGAATAGCAAATAGATTGGATAGAGATTTTCTTAAATGCCTAGAATTAGAATTCATAAATCTCCTCGTCTCTGCCAAGGTGCTTAGTATCCCTGTTGAGGCATGCCTTCAGTACTTAGCTAGGTAGTTTACAACTGTGCCTTAGCATTCATGTAGATCCTGTAGGTGAGCCAGAGGTGAGAGCTTTAGGCCTTCTCAAGTCTTTCCTGAGCATGCACACAGCCCTGGGTATCTGAAAAACCCTAAGCAAGCTCATAGGCTTCTAGATTCCCAGGAATATGTCAGAGCTTTTCAAAGTCCCTATGGACACTCAGAACTCTGATGGGGTAGTGGTTAGCACTAAGCTGCTAACTGAAAGGTCAGCAGTTCAAACTCACCAGCTGCTCCATGGGAGAAAGATGTGGCAGTCTGCTTCTGTAAAGATTTACAGCCTTGGAAACCCTATGGGGCAATTCTACTCTGTCCTACAGGGTCGCTATGAGTGGGAATAGACTCCATAGCAAGAGTTTTTTATGGACATGTCATTCCCTAGATTTTCCCTTTAAGTGTTTTGGGTAGCCTGTTGTATGCCACAACTGTTACCTATTGCCTCAGGTAGTCATGATGTTAAACAATCGTCTCCAAATGTTTTCAGCATACACACTAGGGAAAAGGCCTTTTGCTCTGGGCAAGCTCTGAATCTGGTCAAATAAAGGCAGTCTTGCCAGGTCCTCCAGCTAAGCACCAGATAGGCAAAATATGACAATTCCCTCGGAAAGAGACTTGGAAGGAGTTCTAACCCTGTTCTGCCCCTTTCGGTGGCTGTCAAACTACTCATTTTCAGTGTGATTATAGGCTGACAGTTTTCAAGGCTACCATGGAACTGGAGAGAAGGGGATAAGAATATGGCAAATTAAAATGCCACAAAGCTTGCTCTTCTTACCAATACTTAGCCATTTTTCTTGAATAAATGGTTTCCACACTGCTACAAGCCTTTGGTTATTTTCCAGAGTTCTAAAAAAGTTGATTTTAACAAGTTTTGGCCAGTTTTCTCACTGCTTTTATGGAGAAGAAAATTTTCAGCTGTCCTTACTCCACCATTTTTGCTGATGTCCTTGGTTACGCCATTTTAAATGAGCACTATAAATGTTTAAGAGTTCGGGTGGCCCCATATTTTCATTAAAACTTGGTGTTGTCAGTGTTTATAATTTTAGCTTATTCTAATGGTTATGAAGTGGTATCTTATTATGGTTTTAATTTGCATTTCCCTAATGACTAATGATGCTGAGCACATTTTCCCGTGCTTACTATTTCTATATTTTCTTTTGTGAAGAATACAATTTTTAAAAATTGGGTTATATGTCTTCTTACTGATTGTTAAGATTCTTTAAATGTTCTGTATACAAATCCTTTGACAGCTATGTATACCTTTTCATTTTATTAATAATGTCTTTCAAAGTGTTGAAGCTTTAAATTTTGAAGTCCAATATATCAAGTTTTTCATTTATGGTTTGAGCTAATTGTGTTTTATCTAAGAAAGCTTTCCCTATTCAAAGGTTACAAAGTGTTCTCCTGCATTTTCTTTTAGAATGTAATACTACTAGATCCATTTCAAGTTAATTTTTGTGTATGGTGGGATGTAAGGGTTGAAGTTATTTTTTCTTTTTCTTTTCTACTCTGTCCTATAGGGTCACTATGAGTTGGAATCAACTTTAGGGCAATGGATTTGGTTTTTTTTTAGACCACTTCTTTTTATACAATGATAGAAGTTTGTTTCACATAAATTAGACAGTCCACATGGTGTTTGAGTGTCAGGGACCCAGTATCCTTCTATTTTATTGTTCCATCATTCTCAGCAAGATGGCTACTCAAACTTTAGCAGTTATGACTGTATTCTAGCTGCCAGGAAGGAATATATGCAGAAGGCCCTTCCTTTAAGAACATTACTGAGATTGCATATGCTGTTCTGGTTTATATTCTGGAGCATAGTCATATGGTCAACCCAACTGTAAGTGAGCCCAGGAAATGACAGACCATTTTATTTTATGTAATTATTGATATGGTGGGTTTAAGTATACCACCCTGCTATTTGTTTTCCATCTGTCACATCTGCTTTCTGTTATTTTTCTGCCTTCTTCTGGATTTAGGAGAAACTGTAGGATTGAAAACTTTGAGGCATAAAACAACATGATACAACTCAAATACTTTGGTATGGCTGGAGCAAAGGATACTCCAAAACGGAGAGGATTCTAACCTTTGTACTGAATGCTATGGGGAGCCCCAAATGGAATTTCACAGAAGGAGGGGATATGACTGTATCTGTGTAACAGAAAAACTCTTTGACAATGAGATGGAGGATGGATTGAAGGGAGATAAACTGCAGGCTAGGAGAGCTAGGAGATTATTGCAGCATTTCTGGAAAGAAGTGAAGGCCTAAGTAGGGAGAGTGGAGAAAGAAGAATCGTGAATTGAAAAGCTATTATGGAGTTTAGACACTTAAAAGATTTCTAGAGTGGTTAATAGGAGGCCAGTGGAGACAAGTGACTAGGATAGAGCAAGTATCTACTCTCTCAGGTTTCTGATTAGGGGAATTAGTTGGAGGATGAGGTTATTTACCGAAAAAAGAAAACAAGAAAAGAAAATAGGGGAGGTGCAAGTTTAGGGGGGAAATGTAGAGATGAAGATCCAAATATAGTTAGTATCACCTAAGAGTAAAATAATTTATGTATTTTCTGGATAGAGAAGTGAATCTCTTTGAGAGGAAAAATTTTATGTAATTGTGCCATTCAAATAGCTTTGGCTCCAGATGCTGTAATTCTTCTTCCCCTCTATCCAGTAGATTCATCACCATTCTTGATTTAGGAATGCTTTAAAGATGCTCGTTATTTGGAACATATTTGAGATACTGAGAGGGACTTGGTAAACATGCTGCTCTAAACAGAGACTGACCCCAGAGTGTGATATAAACTTGTCAATAGTTATTTCTTTAGCAGTTTTGTTCTCTGAAAAATCTAGCACACAGCAGGTAATGGGTAAAACGTTGTTGCTGACAGTTACAAGGAGAAACGTGAATAAATTCTTTTTTAAGCCCTACAAAATAAGTGGCTTTAGTTAAATTTGGGAAAGGTTAGTTTTCCTTGAAATCCAGTCCTTGGGAAGTGTAACGTCAGGAAGAAGCTAGGTAAACTAGGCTAAAGAATGTCTTGACCGATTCCCCTGCAACCCCACCTCACCTTTGCTTTTCTGCTTCTCAGATGATCAAATTAAGTCTGGTTCGAAAGAACCTATCAGTTTTTGAGGAGGGCCCTACTGGTGGTGAATACCAAAATGAAAGAGGTTCGTGGCTCCCCAATCTTGGCAGTTCCATAACCTGGCTAGTCACCTCTGGGACCAGGCAGGCCGACGCCTCAGATCTGAGCCACAGCCGGGGCGCGCGGAGGTGATAGGAAGAAGGTGGGATCAGAAATAGAAGGACTTCCACTGTGTCGAAGAAGTCTCGGAACCCACGTCCACTCCACCCCCCCTCGCCGAGACCGAAGGCACCGGGCGGTCCGCGCCGTCTGGCTGTGCGCTCTTCCCGGGACGCCCGCCCAACTCCTGAAACGTCCCCAATTGGCCGTCGGGGGAACGGAAGCCGAAGTAGAACAGTGAACCCGGAAGTGCTTCGCGGCAGAAGCCCGGGCAACTCTTTTGAATGGAATCGGGCTGATTCATCGCCGGTTCGCGGAGCCTCAGAGCAGGGCCAAGTCTGAGCCGCTGCCGCCGCTGCCGCCGCTGCGTCCCCGCGGCAGCAAGACAAGGGTCCAGACCGCGTCTTCCCGTCTCCTGCCTGCCTTCAGGTAAGACCCGGAGAGTAGGCCCCGGAGATCCGAGGAGGTAGCCGCGCTAGGCCGCTGTCAGCGCCGTTCTTTCCTGAGTCACGTTTCCCAACCGAGTTGCCACTGGCGGGCCGGGGCCCCAGGGAGGAGTCTAGGCGCCTTCATCCTCCTCGTCGGCTGCCAAGGGTCTCTGGCAGGGCCAGGTCTGGATGTGGTCTTCTTCCTCCACCCCTTTCTGCACTGCTGAATTCTCCACATCTTGGGAACCTCTTCTCCTGTACAGGGAGAAATCCTGTTTGTGGCCTGTTTGACTCTGCTCTGTCGATAGTTGATCCTGTGTTGAAAAACTTCAAGGCAGACAGAAGAAACAAGGTAGAGAGAATAAAATTAACATTACCAATGAATTCATATTTGTTTTGTCACTTGTCCTTCCCATAGGTTTTGGCCTTTTTTTCTCTTTTAGTGTTAGTTTTTCAACTCCTTTCAAACAAACAAACAAACAAAAAAAACCCTAGGAAATGCACTTATTTTTAACCTTGAAACTCTTCAAAAGAAAGTGTGGTTACTCCTGCTGTACCCTCTAACTTACTTTCAATATTGTCCTGATTGAGTAGTTGTTCGTGAATTGATAACATTTTGTGTTTTCAGTAAAGTAGATATTTGCTACTGTGTTTTGCCTCTTAGAACTTAATTTTCCTGGGGGACTTTACTTTGTGTCTGTGAAAAGAAGAAAAAAGGAAACTTTTTGAAAATCTAAATATAAATCTAGTTACTGAATGAAAAATTCTTGAAATGGTAACCAAAAGTTGATAAAGATTTCACGGGAAAGGCAGGGAAGATACTTTAAAAAATAGCGCACAAATATAGTTCTAGTGTGAGATTATTTTTTTCATTGCTCTCAAAAGTATGTTTTCAGTGGTGCTGACTTAATGCTTATGAGCAAAAAAATAACAGTCACTACTTATGTTGAAATAATGAAAAAGAACTGAACACAATTTTAGTGGAGATGATTAACATAATGGTGGCCTTTTTGTCTTGTCATATAAGGCTACCAACTGGCTTATTTAAAGTCTATGTGATTTAAACAAATTGAATGGGTTGGTGTGCATTAAAAGAGAATAAGATCTATCGTAGCTCGGAATTAACTACAGTTAAAGTGATAATATTAGTGAAGGGTATTGAGTGAAGAGCCTGAATATTGTCTTGAAATGGTCTTTGAACAAAATTAAATTTTGCCAAAAGAAGAAGGTTCTGAAGTCATGATCTTTCAATGAAGCCTCACCTGTTGAGTTTGGGAGATTATTTTTTTCCCAGGTGTTTTGTATATATTTATTGCTGTTCTAATTGAAGAGCTGAATTTCAGCATCTTTGGCATAGGTTCATCCTATTTTTATACTTGCCATATAAACCTAGTGTTTAGTGTCTAGATTTAGAGCCACATGTTTGAAAATTAGTACCAAGAAGCAATTGTGCATTTGTCTTCAGTTTTATAATAATGTTTGTTTCATCAGTCATTGTCCATCTGAGAAAGCTTACCTGAATATGCCCACCTATTGTTATTTCTCACTGATGAATTTGTCATACACTCTGTGTGTTGCACTCATTTGACAATTCATATTCTGCTTTGTGATTCCTTGATAGCCCCCATCTGTAAAACGAGAGAATTGGATTAAGTGATCTCTTCCAGCTCAGAGATTATAATAATAATAGTAATAGCATTTATTGAGTACCTTCCATGTTCTGGGCACTGTATTTGGTGCTTTGTATTTATTCTCACAACAGACTTGCAAGATAGGTATCCCTATTTTATAGATGAGCTCTAGAGTCTAGAAGAAGGTAACCTATAGGGAGTAGGTGGTAAAGCCAAGATTTAAATCAAGGTCTCACTGGTTACAGAGCCTTTCCCTCCCTAACCTGCTGTCTCTTCATTTGCCATATTTTTCTTGGGTTTATGTCATACCTCCTCAGGTAGATTGTAAATTCTTTCAGTGTAAACCATTAAGTTTCTTAGTGCTCCTATTTCTGTACCACTTTATAGACAAGGTTCACTCACTCCAGTTGCCATCATGGCAACCTCGTGTGCGTCAGAGTAGAACTGTATTCCGTAGGGTTTTCAGTGCTAATTTTTTCAGAAGTTGATTGTCAGGCCTTTTTTTGAGGTGCCTCTGGGTGGACTCCAGCTTCCAGCCTTTCAGTTTGCAGCTGAGCATGTTAACCATTTGCACCCCTAGGGACTCTATCTAAAGTAGTGTCAGTAAATGTTTTACTTGAATGCTGTAATTAGGAGGTACTACAATATTTATTTCTGATAATTCCATCCTTACTATTCTAATCTGGGGAAAATATTGTTTTCAAAATCCTGCTTATATAATTAAGTTTAATATTGATTCTTTTTATTTCTTTCACTGAAGAAGGCACTTAAAAAGGTGAGAGACAGAAGTTCCTAATTACTTTCCACAAATCAGAGAATAGAGGAATTAGAAATACAGTGAGATCACAATTACGGGATAGTTTAAAAAGGATTTAGTATCAGTCTGAGAAGTGATAGTATTTTATTTAGATCCAGCATGGATTGGGGAATAAAAAATGAAATGAAAAATAAACTAGGAAATAGAATGATAAACCTGAACAGTTAAGAAAAAAAAAAACCTCACTGCCGTCAAGTTGATTCCGACTCATAGCGACCCTACAGGACACAGTAGAACTGCCCCACAAGATTTCCAGAGAGCGGCCGGTGGATTCAAACTGCCAACCTTTTGGTTAGCAGCCATAGTTCTTAACCACTGCACCATCAGGGCTCCGAACAATTGAGGTTTCATGATTTTGCTTGAATTTTATGAATTATTGGAACATATGTGTCCCTTGTGAAAAGGTTGAAAAGTTAAAAAAGAAAAATAAAATCTTGACATTCCAAATCCAGATTAAGATAAATGTGAAGGATCCGCTCTTTAGGATTATCTGTGCATGATTCCATACATTTCCTATAACTATTTGAGAGTTGGTTTATTTTAAATCAAACATGATTAATGTCTGTAGCTAGATTCTAACCAGATATTGTATCAGTTGGGAGATAAAAAGTAGAAAATTATCAGCCTTCTGAAAGTGCTGATACTTGTACTATTTTTACTAGTTAGTACTATAAGCATTACTTCATGCATGACATTTTATTGGGTCTAGTTAAACACTTTATTGATATTGTCTGATAGTGTTTTAAGTAAAGTTAGTCATATCATGCATGAGCTCTTGAGTTCTCTACTTTTTGATAAGTAGAAAAAACTGTTTAGATCCATAGACCTTTTGTATTGCATTTAATGCCAGGAACTAGAAGTGTTCTTTTTTATGTATTACACTTTAACTTTCTGAACCCCTTTGCTAATTCTGCAAAATGCAAGTCTCTCCCTGCAGTATGGTTAATTTAGTACTGTGAAATGTGCCCAGTGTTTTGAAACTCACTAAGTGGTAAATTGTGGGAAGGGGATTGAGGGGGTCAGTGTTGGATGAACTGTAGCTAAGCTCATAGGATGGTGGTGCTGGTGGCAGAAGCTAGCATTAATTGTTTGCTTACTGTGTGTCAAGCATTGTGCTAAATGTTTCTTACGTTTTTGTTTAATCTTCTGAACAACTCTATGAAGTTGATGCTATCATTATCTTCATTTTGCAGATGAGGAGACTGAGTCTGAGATAGGTAATTGACCCAAAGAAACAGACCTAGTAACTGTTAGAACCAGCATTTGAATCCTGGCACTCTGACTGCTTAGTCATTGCTCTTAACCTTAATATGCAGGAAAAATAGTCATCACCGTTTACCCTTTGAGTCCAGTGGGCCCTTTTTTTTTTAAAGTCATTTTATGAACAATTTACAGAAGTAAAAATAAAGGGATAGTGTAAAACTATACTAGAAATGTTCATAAAAGCTTAAACAGTAAATACATATTTTTATTCTGTATTTTCTTGGTTTTGGCTTGAAATGGGAAACATCCTTTGAATGTAATTGACTGTTCATCAGCCATTGTGCATGAACTTCGAACATATCCATCTTGAGAAAATCGGTTCTAGATTTCAGATATATTTTTAATAGGCCTTAGCGTATCATTACTTCTGGTTCTTCTTATACTTGTAATACTTTGAAAATGGTGATAGCCCATAATATTGTTGAAGCAAGGATGGCCGTCTTTACACCCTAATTGCAAAACATTTTTATTTTTAGATTTATAAACCCCATTAAAATCAGTCCAATCTTCTTTTATTCCATTTCTACATTATTTCCTTTTATTCACCTTTGTATACACTTAGACACTTCAGCATTTGTCTACATATGAACTGTATCAAATAAATTTTGGTGCACAAACATCATAAAAGACAAAAGAGTAGCTCACACATCTCTAGCAAAACAGGTTTTTATTGCAAAATATTATGTGATAAAGTCCTTATTGAATGACTGTCTGGATGAGAATATCATATTTCCTTTATGGTGTTAGAAATATATTGTTCACTTCTTGATTCTTCAGTTTGAGAAAATTAATCCAGAATACTGTCATCTGAAGATACATAATCATCATAATGCATAACTCTTGTGCTGGTTCAGAATGTCAGTAGTGCCATGGTTGAGAAACCCTGGCATATACCGTCAATTTCATCGTCATCGTAGAGACTGCTGTTGTGGTTGTTAGGTGCTATCAAGTCTGTTCCGACTCATAGTGACCCTATGTACAACAGAATGAAATACTGCCAGGTCCTGCACCATCCTCACAATGGTTGCTGTGTTTGAGCCCATTGTTGTAGTCACTGTGTCAGTCCATCTCGTTGAGGGTTGTCTTTTTCACTGACTCTCTAGTTTACCAAGCATGATGTCCTTTTCCAGGGACTGGTCCCTCTGATAGCATGTCCAAAGTACATAAGACAAAGTCTCACCATCCTCACTTGTAAGGAGCGTTCTGCCTGTACTTCTTCAAGACAGATTTGTCTTCTGGCAGTCCATGGTGTAGTCAATATTCTTTGCGAATGCCATAATTCAAAGACATCGATTTTTCTTTGGTCTTCCTCAATCATTGTCCAGCTTTCACATGCGTATGAGGCGATTGAAAGTACCATGGTTTGCATCAGGCTCACCTTAGTCCTCAAAGTGACATCTTTGCTTTTTAACACTTTCAGTCTTTTGCAGATTTGTCCGATGTAGTACAGCATTTGGTTTCTTGACTGCTGCTTCCATGGGCATTGATTGTGGATCCAAGTAAAATGAAATCCTTGACAATTTCGATCTTTTCTCTGTTTATTGTGAGGTTGCTTTTAGTACAGTTGTGAGGATTTTTGTTTTCTTAATGTTGAACTAATCTATACTGAAGGCTGTAGTCTTTGATCTTTATCAGTAAGTGCTTGAAGTCCTCTTTCGCTTTCAGGAAGGAAGGTTGTCCCATCTGCATATGGCAGACTAGAATGCTGTTATCTGTTTCTTTGCATTCATTTTCTGATTCTCTAATAATTGTGCAACTTTTTTATCTGTCATTTTTTCTTCTGTTTGTCATTATGGTTGGAAAATGAAAAACTGAATTCTCAACTGTGTTCAGGGAAAGCTAAAAAAAAAAAAAAAGGACTACAAAAAAAAAAGGACTACAAAGATGGTATCTCATCCTTTTTTCCTTCTTGAAAGAAGAAGCAATGCTTTGGGCAACACAATAATAAAACTAACCAAAAACCAAACCAAACCCATTGCCATCGTGTCAATTCTGACTCATAGCGACCATATAGGACAGAATAGAACTGCCCTAAAGGGTTTCCAAGGCTGTAAATCTTTAAGGAAGCAGACTGCCACATCTTTCTCCTGTGGAGTGGCTGGTGGATATAAACCACTGACCTTTCAGTTAGCAGCTAAGCACTTAACCACTGTGCCACCAGGGCTCCTGAGAAAACAGAAGAATCATACAATATCTATAATTTATTTGACTTGTATTATTCTAGGCAATTATCATTCTTCCATTTTCTTATTTTAGGGTTTTTAAAAAATTTTTTTTGTAGCATAACTGGGAAGAATTCATGAGAAATGATGAAATAATTTCTAGGATGATGAAATGGTAAACTTTCCTCAAGATACAGGAAAAAATAACATCACTAATATTTCATAATATGTCATAGATTTGTAGTAGTGTGCAATGGACATTGCACAATAAAATGAATTTTGTTCTATTTTAAAAAATAAGTGAATTTTCTCTTTGTTCTTTGGAAGACCTCTAGAAAAGCTCTAAAGGAAGACCACTAAAAGTCATGAAATGTCAGTCCTTACACATAATTAGCACTGCTCAAAAAAGCTTACAAACTAAAATTTGATACATGCTTAATCACTAGGTAAACAGCTCTCTTGGATGATAGATCATTCCATACTCTCAGGAAATCATGATTAAAAATCAATTTTTATTTCCATTTCATTTTTAGGAATTTTGCTTATTTTAAAGCTTTTGGTATAAAAATTTTCCCACTTAATTCTCAAAATAATTATATGTTATTTCTTTTTTCTTTAAGAGAGAGGAAAAAAAAATATTTGGAAAAATTACATCTGCCAGAATTAGCAAGAGTTTGTGCTAAGAAGAAATTTATAAAACTCAACAAATTGAAGTTTAACGCCTCAAGAGTTGTAGTTACTGACCAGGTGAGAATTAAGAATGTACTTTACTCAACCTATTCTTTCAGGATATGATACAGAGATGTTATGAAAATGTGCCAAGTTTAGCAGACATCTAAACTCTGAATCTGATAGATAAACTAAAGGTATATGTTCTTGAAAGTTACTTAGACAACTAGCATTTTTGTCTCATTTGCTTTCTATATATTTTTTAAAAGTAGTGTGATTTAGAACATTTATCAATATATTTAATTCCTAAACTTTAGTATTTTTATTAAACTTGGTTTTCTTACCTTAAATGTTTAGTTTGTTAAATAATTTTTTCTGTTTGCTGAGACATCTAATTTTGCTAAAAACACAATTTTGACCTGCCAGATTTTCGTTCCCCCTGCTCCCCACATTGCTCATGTATATTCACAGCATCTGGAGTCTGTGAAGTCATCAGAAACAACACGGGGGAAATAGATAAACTGAACACAGCTGCGAATCGACTTTGGCCTAGTATACTCTATGCTGTTGTTTATTTCCATTCGTTCTTCAAGTTTGTAAGCTTGAAATGGTCCAAACAATTTTTTTTTTCTCTTTTGGTAATATATTCTAGAGAACAGTCTTTAATATTTTAAAATATACAGGATTTTTTTTTTTCTGTCTACAGCCTTTACAAAGTGCTATGTATTAAATGCTATATTTGAGTTGAGAAATTTTAATGAGAATTTGGTGGAGATTTTATTTGTAAATGCTTTTTATTGGAAGGATGAGTTAAGGTTATCAGGCAGAAATTTTGTCCTGACTATCAAGTTTTCTTTTTAGCGTTTTCATTTTTTAAAATGAATTTATTCATTGTGAATCTCACGAACTAAGCCAGACACAAAATTACATGATTTCATTTATACAAAACTCAAAGCCAACAGAACTAATCTATGCTGTTAGAGGTTGGAATACCACCTTTACGAGGTGGTAGAGACTGGTAAGGGGGCATGAGAGGAGCTTCTGAGGAGCTGATAATGTTTCTTAATCAAGGTGATAGTTACATGGGTATGTTCACACTGTGAAAATTTTATGACTGTACAGTTTGTGCACTTTTCTATATGTGGGCTTGTTTTGCAATATTAACGTTGTTAAATATTAACAGGATTCATTTGTTAGGAGAATTCAATGAACATGTTTAAGCAGTGATGGGATGATCACAAATATGTTACTGAGTTTTATTTCCTGTAGCGGTCCTAACTAGAAAAACAACATGGACAAATGACTAAACTAATCCACTGGCACTTAATTTACTATATAGTTTGTAGTAATACCATTTTCTAAAGCATGTACTTGGGAAGAGTAGGAATTTTAAGGCATAGTAGCCATTTTCAAGTAGATAAAGCATTTTTTTTTTGTCATTTTTAAAGTGTCTGATTGTATAGCTATTAATTTTTATCTTTTGATTACTCCTTTTTATGTATTTGAGGCCATGCAAGTATACTTGCTATTTCTTTCCTTTGATTCATACTTTCTGTGAGTTTTTTAAGCTTATAAGTGTCTTCTGTAGTTAATTCACGCATGAAAAATAACTCAGGTTGATATTTCAAAGTTAATCCTGTTTGTATTGATTAGTGCTGAAATGCTCATTGGGAACAATGGTTGAATGTCCTTAGTGAAAAAGATATATATCTCCACAACATCTGAAATAACTAGAAATACCTATGTAGGTTCTAGAACACTATTTTAAATGCATTTAATGTTTACTTTATAGTATTTCTTTAGGATTAATGAGTTTGTTTTAAAAAGGCCTTTGATGCTAATTCCGAGATCCATAATCTGCTCACAATGTCTTTCACATGTAGTTTTGATGATAACTGACAAGCTGTAAGTTAATTAGCACAGAACTTACTAATGAGGATGTTAAAATTTAATTTAAAAGTGAGGACTTTTATTTGTACACTCTGGACAAAGTGAAGGAAATTCAATCATACGTATGATAAGCATTTCAGGCACTTTTTCTTCATTCAGGTGCTTTATTAGATAACAATAAGAAAATATAATTAACTTAATGATAGCAAAGTTTTGAAAGTATGCTAAGATTACTTGTCTTTAAAACTGGGGATAACCCAAAACCAAAGCAGTAAAATAAGGTCTGTTAATTAGCATGGAAGACAGCTTCTTGAATTAATATGTGGTGTTAATTAACAGGAAGTCTGATGTTGTGTTGTAATTACCACCAATATTTTTGACATACTGAGTGACTGAAGGTGAATTATATAGATAGCAATTGAGTAAACACTTTTGTGCTTAGGAACATTTTCCTTTGTTTCTGTTTTCTAGAAGTATGGACAGACTTCTTAGACTTGGAGGAGGTATGCCTGGACTGGGCCAGGTTAGTATATAGATTCTCAATATTTCTTTGTGTGTAAACTACAAGACTTTCTTTGGTTATCCCGAGAGAAAAAAATCACCTCACAGGTAACCTTAGGGTAAGAAGTCTACCTTATTACTGGTTGCTATATTGCAACACTAAATAACGTGCGGAAAAATTTTCTATTATCTTAATTTACTGTCTTCTAGGAATAAGAATTTTCTCTGTTTGATTTAAAATTTTGGGATATATGAGATTATCAGACTTGCCTTTTAGTAAAAAAGAGATGCAGAATATCTTATTTCTGAGTTTAAAATGTAAACTTTAGAAGTAACACATGAAAAAGTCAACATGGCAACTTGGCTAGATCCAGAAAACTGACCCATTAAAAAATGTTTTTATGTGTAGTCTTAAAACATAAATTCTAGCTAATAATTATGATACGTGGATGATTAATATAAGTAATGCCCTTATTTTAAATTTGTGAATATAGTTTCTTTTATATTTTTAAAATTAAATGATCTTTCAGTCATTTTAATATTATCGTTTATTTTGTTCCATGCTGTTAGTCAAAAGGGCTTCTGGATAGATTTCTATCTCAAGATACTCCATCTGCTTTCATCTAAAGAAGAATTTCTGCTGCTTTTGGGTTCTGTACCATTTTATCTTTCCAGTCTTCTGTTTACTTATTGCTTATTAGCAAAAGAGATGAGTGTGTGTTTTTCCCTTCCTGAGACTTTTATGTAATGTATTGTTTTATGACCTAATATTGGAAATATTTTTATAACTCACCTTAAGAACCCTTTTCGTTACCAGCTTTCCTTCATTTCTGTATCACCATTAATGACTTTGTCTTTCTCATTCAAAGTTGTCTATATTTACTATAAGAAACACAGTTTTATTTGAGACTTTATGAAATTTTCAGTGTTTTGGAGACACTTTTGCAGGAATTCTTTGATTAGATCTATCATGGTTTATGACTAATAGTACTTTTTAGAAAGTTGAAATAGTTTTGAGACGCTGTATTACATCCTTGAATAGACTTTAGTATTTTTTGTTTACTTTTGTTAAACAGAACTCTGGTGGCACGTTGGTTAAGAGCTCAGCTGCTTACCAAAAGGTTGGCAATTTGAATCCACCAGCTGCTCCTTGGAAGCCCTATGGGACAGTTCTACTCTGTCCTATATGGTCACTCTGAGCGGAATCGACTTGATGGCAATGAGTTTGGTTTTTTTTTGTTTTGTTAAACAGTATTGAATATTTCTCAGTTTCTTTGCTGTTAGCTTATGTCTTCAGGATTCTTAATTTTTGTAACAATTGTATAGTTTATTCTCTCAGGAGATCTAAACCTCTCTGAACTTGATCCTTTCAACACCGTTTCCCTACTTTTGTAAACAACAAATATATTGCTTAACAATATTAAGGCATTTAAAAATATCAGAAGTGAGCTGAGGTAGTGTGCAGATGCTGCAGATTTACCTGCAAATTGTAGGTAAAAACGTACCTGAGTACAATTCTTGAGGGAAGTTGCATCAAATTTGAAAACCAAAATAACTTTCCTTAAACATTGTTACTGTTGTTTTAGCTGCTGTCAAGTCAGCCCCCAACTCATGGTGACCCCATACACAGCAGGATTGGATCATTGTGATCCATAGGCTTTTCATTGGCTGATGTTTTGAAAGTAGATCACCAGGCCTTTCTTCTTAGTCTGTCTTAGACTGGAAGCTCCACTGAAACCTGTTCAGCATCATAGCAACATGTAGGCCTCCACTAACATTGGCCTGGAGTGGAACCCAAGTCTCCCGCATGGAAGGTGAGAATTCTACCACTGAACTACTGTTACCACTGCCTCCTTAAGCATTAGATACAATAAATTATACATCCGTGCTAGAAATCCATGCTGGAGAGTTGCTGGACATGAAATAATGGTGTTACTGACCACAGATTGAGCTACATCAAATCTCAGTGATCACTGCTAACCTTTGCATTGTTAAATAAGTGGAAAACAGCATTTATTCAACACCGCTTCCAGGTTTCTGATTATTTAATCAGCCCTTGTGTCCTCAGTTTGTACTCTTATTTGAACTTGTAAATATGGTGCTTAAGAATCTTAAGTCATTTCATGTATGTATTTCATCTCTCCAGTTAGATGACAAACTCTGAAGGGAATAATTTGTGGGGTTCTTATTTCTCTGGTATCTCCCTTGTCAAATACAAGATGTTTAGTGATAAAATTTTTTTTACAAGAATATTATTTTCTTCTAGTTCTAAGACTAATTTGACAAACAAATACTTAAAGTTTTACTTCTGCAACTCATCTACCTCAGGAATGAAATGTTAAGTGTATTGTTTATATTTGATAAGACATCAAAGATCTTTGTGTAGAAATCGCTATTTTTACCAATAGATAGTGCATAGCAGCCAGTAGTTGTAGGAAAGGATCAGTGGGGAAAGTTAATATCTTACCAAGAAATGGAAAAGACAGAATTCTCCCAAAAGTAGGTCACTGGCTGATAAGCTTCAAAGTTTGTCCTTTTAAAACATGGGAATAGCAGCAGAACAGGTAAAGTCCTAATAATTTCTTGAGAGTCCCTTAAAATTACTTAGGCTTAAGAGTTAAATAAACTTTTGCCCCTTTTCAAAAATTCGTTTCTTGGTTGAAGAAAGAATCATGGATAGTTTATGAGTGAATGGGTCATCTTAAATCATTCTGTATGGAGATAGCCTAACTTTGATGAAACAAATGCTCCAAGACTGACTTTTCATAACAGTGTTTAGCAGCTGCTTTTTTGGCTTAAACAGTATTTCATTTTCACCCTTTATTTCATTATTTGTGCGGGAATATTTCAGTTGTATTTTCTTGGAACATTATTTGCTGCTTATTTTTTGTATCCTATTTCAAAGAGACGTGATCCAGTATCTGGGTATAAAGCAGGATCAGTTGATATAAACACATATATATATATAATTACATACATATAGTTGTAATTATATAATTGATACTGACATTTCCTTATATTTGGGGTCTTTTGGCCACATTTGTTTTATTTCAGAGTTAGGGTGGGGCCAGTGGATAAAAAAGAACTGTGTCTCTGCCCATACTAACCCTTCTCTTTTCCAAGACTAATCCTTTCACTTTTATTTCACTTATTCTCTGATCCTATCCTCTCTTGAAACATTGCTTATCTCTTGCTTAAGGTTCCTTTCTCTGCCTACAAAGATGTTTAACTCCCCTGTGTACAAAAACAGGCTTCATTGCTTCCTGCCATTAACCATTTTCTTCCATTTATTTCTAGACTTCCTGAAATAATAGCTTGTACTTACATATTCTGTTTATCATTCACTCTCATGAGGCTATGTTCTGGCCTTCTTCTCCACTGCTATACCAAACCTGCTCAAATTGCCAAGTCTATTGGCCTACTTCTAGTTTTCACTAAACTTCAATATTCTACAGTTAACAGCATGTTTCTTAAAACTTTTTCTTTCATTAGCTGTTACCAGCCATTTTCTCCTAGTTCTTCATTATGTTGTTCATACTTACAGAACAACTTAAAGTTTAATTTTCTTTTTTAATAAAACATTTTTTAATGTTAATAAGAGAAAAATGATAGTCTAAAATAAAGGAATCTTTCCACAATCTCTAACTTAAGTATAACTTAGCAGTTGTTGTGGAAGCAGAAACAAACAGACGTTTTATTAAAACTATTGAATTTGTAAATTAATAGCTTTAAAATTCAAATGTATTTCTTTATTCACTTTGCTAAAGTGCTTACAAAATTGAAATTACTAAAAGATGTGAGGTGATCGTATTAAAAATATTTATTGCTTTAATTTGGCCACTTGTCTTTATGACTGTTTATTCCAACTTACATCTTGGCAACTGAACTGTTTCCAAAAGCAATAAAGACAACTCAAGAGATAAAACTAGCCAAAGCATAGCCTCCAGTCTCTAAAAGTTTTAGTCTAAGTCTCTGGGTCCATTTTCGCTTCGGAAGCAGTCAGAGTAAGCTTAAAAATAGATGAAACTTAGGTAAAATGTCAGTGAGGTAAAATTTGTTAGGTCAGTACTTTGAGGATTTTTTGTGTTGGGTTTTATGCTGCAGGAAACACCAAGATAAACAAGAATGTGGTTACTTAACCCAGGGGCCTTACATTCTAGTAGACACACAAACAGTTATGCTTCAAGTACCTGGAACATATTAACTACTTTCTAAGACCTCATTGTAAATAATGTGATTTTAAGTATATAGTGCTTAATTTTTCCTACGAGAAGGGAAAATGAGACTGAAGTGAGGAGATTGGGTTTGAGCTCTATTTTGAAATATGTGCATATTCAGAAGGCTGGAGAATAGGTGATGTGGGGGAAATAGTGAGAAAAGAAGCTGGTAAAGGAGTTTGATGTAGATTATGAAAAGTGATTTTTACTTTTTTTTAATAGACGTTGTAGTTTCATGAAGATTGTTTTCTTTCAGCAGAGTTGTGAGTTGATTCAGTCTATGATTTAAAAAAGTAATTCTAGTGGTGGTTTGGAGAATAGGAAGAGGGGAAGAGATTGAAGGCAAAGTCATCAACTAGAAGGCTGTTGGAGTTGTCCAGATAAACGATAATGGAGACTTGAACTAAAGCCTGGTAGTATACTTTATACTTGGTGGGCCACATAGAGGTCTCCATTGCATGTTCTTTTTTTTTTTTTAAACAATTCTTTAAAAAATATAAGGCTCTGGCTTTATAAAAACAGACTGGATTTGGCCCAGGGTTGGTAAACTTTGCCAGCCCCTGAACTAGGACATTGATGGTGAGAACAGAGAAGGCCAAAGACATCACCCTTAACAGAAACTCAGTGTCCCCTAAGCATTGACTCCCCCAGTCCCCTTCCCTCTCTCCCTGGTAACCACTAATGAGTTTTGGTGTCTATACATTTACCTATTTTAGATATTTCATACAAGTGGAATCATACAATGTTTATCTTTTTGTGACTGACTGTATTTCACTCAGCATAATGTTTTCAAGGTTCATCCATA